GCAAATAGTCTCTTAACATTTGGAAATAATGATTATATAAAAAAAACGTCTTCATTACTGATTGAAATACAGGTATAAAATGAAAATAAGTTAATGATATATAGTCAAAAAGAGCAATTGACCAATGATGATGGCTACCAGAGAATAGAACTTTTTGATAGGTTACCTACTCTGTGGTAGGACATTCTAGTGCTCTGTGATGTACGAAAAACTGAAAGAAGTAAAATTATGTAAGCTTACAATTGGTGCAATTTGTAGATTAATTGTTTTATTGGTTTTTATACGCCCGTTTACGGGACGTATTATGGTATACCGTTGTACGTCCGTCTGTCCGTCTGTCCGTCTGTCTGTCCGTCCGTCCGTCGTCAACATGTCGGACATTAACTCAAAAACGCTTTAACCAATTTGCTTAAAACTTTGGTGAATTGTTTATATCTATTGACGTGAGCTCCCTTTCGTTTTTTATAAATTTTAGATTTTACGTTTCCGAGATATGGGGTTTTATTCATTAAAAAAAGGGGGATTTTCCAGTTTTCGGACAATAACTCAAGAATGCTTGCACCAACTTGCAAGAAATTTTGGTTAATTGTTTATATCTATTGACATGAGCTCCCTTTGGATTTTTATAAATTTTAGATTTTACGTTTCCGAGTTATGGGGTTTTATTCATAAAAAAAGGGGGATTTTCCAGTTTTCGGACAATAACTCAAAAATGCTTTCAGCAGTTCTCATGAAACTTTGATGAATTGTTGATATCTATTGATGTAAGCTCCCTTTAGAATTTTATAAATTTTAGATTTTACATTTCCGAATTATGGGGTTTATTCATTAAAAAAGGGGGGATTTTCCAGTTTTCAGACAAAAACTCAAAAATGCTTTCAGCAATTCGTATGAAACTTTGGTAAACTGTTTATATCTATTGATGTAAGCTCCCTTTAGAATTTTATAAATTTTATTTGTTTATAGTCTGACAACAGATTTACTAAGCATTGCGCAACAGCACAGTGTATTGCACAACAGCAAGAAATCTTTAATTGAATACAAATTCAATTCATATAACCAACTTCAAGTTCTTTGACTACATTTATTCAGTAACCTATAATAGATGTATGTCAAATATTTAATTTCAATCCAAATTCAGACCTGTATCAAGCTTGAATATTGTGTCCATTTTTGCCCCAACTGTTCAGGGTTAGACCTCTGCGGGCGTATCCAGCTGCGCTCAGCGAAGCAGTTTATTTTTGAGAGTCATCTCATCTGTTTAAAATTTACCTGTTTGTTGCCTAAAAAGTTTATTAGCCATTCATGAGAAGCAAACTTCAAAGGCAGTGACACACCTGTCAATTCAAAGGAATACAGCATGACTCCCTATAACTTCAGATAGGGCAGCATGGCAGCAAAACAAGTTGGAACTGACAGTAGTGACCAGACAACATAATACTTGGGGGAATAAAAATAATTTAATTTATAAATCCAGACAATAAAATTTCAAGATTAAATCTTTAGTCGACCTCTTCATGGAGTTATTGGTGTTTACAGATGATTTTTACCATGTTTTTTTAGTTTTTGCCTATTATCTAGAAAAAATGACCAGCAGGACAAGATCTAAAATATGTCAACGTGACTGAATGTGTCAAGTAACACTTTATAGAGTTATTGCCCTTTCGTGATGATTTTTTGGTTATTGTTGAAGATGATGTTGAGCAACACAGGCTCTAAAGAGCCTCTGTTTGAACAATTTTGATTGACCTAAGCATTTTACTTTCAGGTTAGCATTGATTACTGCTTGTCATTATGGATTGAAGTTTAGAATGATCATTGAATCCGACTTTTAAGGTAAGAACCATTGCATAGATTTATAAACTTGTTGATTAAAGATTATGTAAACGCCTTTGAATTTTGTTATTTTACATGTGACATTTTGTTGCAGAAGCCAGGCATAGCAGTTCACATTACTTTACTATAGGCTTCAAAATTTAGGGTTCAGTATTATGGTTAAAAAGTTTTCAAACATCAATAACTTTGTCAAACTTTGAAGTAATTGTACATCAGAAGAATCAACAGCAAAATTTTGAAATTCAAATATAAAAAAAAATATTCATCAATTGAAGGAACAATACACTAATTCACAAATGTATGTAGGTATGAGTAAATTATTATTGTTGTTTGGTCATGAGTTGAATATTTTTCTATATTTTAATTCTTTGATTAGTTTTGTTACATTGCCCTAAAATACAAGAAATAACTTTCTACACATTTCAATTTTGTTTTGATGCAACATCATCCACAATATCTTTTGACAACACTCATTGTGAAATTATCATCAATTTTTATTTAACTTGGAAATCACAGTACTTCATTGCAACAGATGTAATAAATATACTTTTTTCACAGTTTTCACTAAGATAATTTTAAGGTTAAAGTTTTACAGATCAAACATTTATTTTTTATTTTCCACATTCAAACTACCAAGAAAGAGTTATTTCATTAGTTTGATACATGTATATGGTTTCTAGTAACATGAATAAAATGTTATAACATTTGAAAAGTAAATTCTGAGATAGATTTCATCTTCAGGGGGAGACTAGTACAACAAACAGCAAGAATGTGTCATTCAATGGGAGATAACTCATAGATTATTGAAGAAAAAAAAATGTTGAAACAAAATCAAAACATGTTTTGTATTTCCGGCTTTTATAGATATTAAACTGGTTTTAATGTTATGCTTAATCTTAAGTTGGAAAACTAATTTTTTGGCGAACAATTTAACTCTTTTGTAAAATATATAATTTGTTAATTTTAATTCCTTTTTTAGGTTATTGCAGTGACTGTTTTCATGGATGGAGAGTAAAACTTGGTGGTCTGATATATTAGTAAGTATATAATTCCTCTGTTAAAAACAAATTTATTTTCATCTTAAAATAAAAATTGATAAGAATGTAATGTGCATTAGGCTTGAAAGTTTTAAAGAGTTTAGTCAGAAGTTCTTTTTGTCTACCTTGCACCACAGGGGATATATGGTTATGGTCTTTGTCCAAGTGTCGTAAACACATCAATAAAGTATGTTCGCTCTTTTTTTTTTTTTTTTAACTTTTTGTCAAGATAATCGGAATCCTCTCTTTTTATCCAAGAAGTGCCGTTACAATTTTGCCTGCTTTCACCCCTACTTATCTTTTCATAATTTTATTACATATTGTTTGAAAATCTTAAAATCCTTGTTATTTTTTCATAGTTCTAATTTGCAATAAAATAAATAAATGGAGAAGATGATGCCCCTGGTTGCATAAAACATTATAAAGGGACAAACAGTAAAAGTGATGTCACCCAAATTAGAAATTGATCTGAGTTTTGCGGTAATAAGCATTGGGATAAGTCTACTAACATTTGGTTGAGGCACACTTAAGTTCGAAGACAGAAATGAAAAATTCAGCAATTTTTCCATTTGTAAAGGGGCATAACTTTAGAACAGTAAAAGTGATGCCACTTAAATTCAAAGCTGATCAGAGTTTTGTGGTAATTGTGTATAAGTTTCAAAACAGTTGGTTGAGGCAAACTAAAGTTAAGAACGATACCCACTTTCGGGATGTACATACAGACGTACAAGGGTAACACTTAATGCCCCCTCCACTTTGGTGCTGGCATAAAAAATGAACTATATGTAAACAACCAACAGAAACAAAAATTCTTTTTAAATCACATACTATTGCCTTCATTTTGATACTAATTTTCAAAACCTACCTGAATTAAGATATGATCAATTGCCATGATTGCCGTTAGAATTAAGGCAAAATAAAAATATATATGTGGTTCTGGTTACCAGACCGACCCTAGTACTTTTTTTTTACATCGCGATGACCTTGAGGTCATCCTGATGTATTGCTATCGCCTAGATTTCCATTATGTAAATTAGTTTTGGGTTTGTAACCGATCTATAACCATGATAAATATGCGCACATAAACGAGTGCAAAATAACATTCCTTGTCATTTGATATAAATACATCTCTTCAATGAATACTGATAAAAATATTTTTGTTTACAACATAAATTAATAATGTGAAAATGTTTTGTAGTTAGATATATATATATAAGTAAAAAATCATTGATAATATCAATGCACACGTACCGAAAAATTGTGTTAAAGCATGCGGAAGAATATCTCAAAGAACGTTTTGCGACAGGACCGGTAACTCTGTAATTGTTTTTGCGGGAAAATATGAATGCCTACTCGTATCCAATCTTAGAAAAATCGAATTTTTACAGAAAAGTGTCCACCATGCACTTGCATTGCACTATTATTAGAACAGTAGAATAGAATGATATACAAACGGATGCAAATCATATATATATGTAACTGTTATTTTAATATAGTATATAACAACAAATCAGTGTATACTGATTTGTATCACTACAATATAATAGTTATTACGGTGAAGTTGAATTTCCTGTCATTTATTCATCATACTCGCACGCACTTGTCTAGAAAAAAATATATCTCTGTACATTAACCTCAGTTTCAGGTAAAGAGATATGTTGTTGTTTTTTCTGAGACAAGTGCTTTTGACCATCCTCAAGAACTTGTGGTCATCCGATGTTCAGTACTTCAGTACTTTGATTTAATTCTGTTAAATAAATTTTGAAGGATCCCATTTTATGGAATGTGAATTTCTAAAATTAAATTCACAGACTTCTGTCATATGAATTTCCAATAAAAGTATCCACTACGGCTAAAAATGCAACAATTTCTTAACAGAATGCAACAAAATTGTAACATGTCTTTTTATTTTACAACCAAACACATAGAAAATGGCAAACTTCCAGGAGGGGCGTGTACATTACCAGAATCAGACTCAGTGAAAATAAGATTTTTTGCCAGATTTTGACATTCAAAAAAAAAAAAAAAACAAAGTTGACCTACAGACCCAATTTTTTTGGAGGATGTAACTGGAACTATGCATATATTTTTATTAGGCCTAAGTTTTTTTTTTTATTATGCAAATGAAAATTTGGATCCTTTTGGCTGGAAAGATTGTCAGGAACCTGAAGAAACTGAATCCACAATAAACATATGTACACAAACAGGTAAATATATATCTGTACATAGTAGGGATGTCATCGAGTATTCAAGTATCGCTCTGTAGTACCCAGTATTAAATACCAAAACATTACTCGACTTATTGGTTTCCTGTTTGAATATTGCTGTCTTCTTGTTTTTTTAGTATTTTGACGCTATCAATCAAATAGTTTTTTTCAAAATTTAACACGTTAAGGTATGGGGAAAATTTGGATTCAGAATATTTTTTTTTGTCATCTGCTTGACCACAATATTTTTTTTCATCAAATTGAGGATCAGAATATTTTTTTAGGCAAAAACCATAACCCCCCCTTGAAGTTAAATGGTTGTTCCCTTAATGTATTTTAAGGAAAGATGGGGATACTTTTAACCACAATAAAAGTATCCCCAATTTTTACTAATTCTAAATGTTTATGTATTTTTGTCTCGCCTTGACGGAGTAAAAAAGCGAAACATAGGTATGCTGTTTCCGGCGTCGGCGGTGGCCGTGGCATCAACAATGTATTAGTTTGTGATAAGGTCTAGTTCATGGTGAACCACTAGTGGTAGGTCAATGATATTTGGTATGCAGTTGTATTAGCATTGGCACATCTCATTACCATGGAGATTATTTGGCCTCGCCCCCTCAGTCAAGGTCTAATGACTTTGAAACTTTTCATAGTTTACATGTATTAGTTTGTGATTAGGTGATTAGGTCAATTTATGGGGAACCACTAGTGGTAGGTCAATGATATTTGGTATGCAGTTGTATAAGCATTGGCATATCTCATTTCCATGGAGATTATTTGGCTCCGCCCCCTTTGTCATGGTCTATAGACTTTGATAATTTTGCTAAGTTAACGTATTAGTTTGTGATTAGGTTAGTTCAAGGGGAACCATTAGTGGTAGGCCAATGTTAATTGGTGTTCAGTTGTATAAGCATTAGCACATCTCATTTCCATGGAGAATATTTGGCACCGCCCCCTCAGTCATGGTCTATTTACTTTGAAACTTTTGCTTAGTTTACATGTATTAGTTTGTGATTAGATCAGTTTAAGATGAACTGCTAATGTTAAGTCAATGATATTTGGTATGCAAATTTATTGGCATTTGCAAGTATCGTTTCCATGGAGATTATATAGCCCCACCCCTGATCATGGTTCATTGACTTTGAAACTTTTACATAGTTTACAAGTTAATGTTTGTTTAGGTTTGTTTAAAGGGAACGACTTATAATAAGTCAATGGTATTTGGTATGCAGTTGTATTACTATTAGCATTGGCACATCTCATTTCCATGGAGATTTTTTAGCCATGTACCTTCAGTCATGGTTTAATGACTTTGAATATTTGCACAACTTACATGTTAAAGTATTGCTATTTTAATTTCAACATTTGCATTATCAAAATTACAAAAAGGCGAGACATATCTCTGTGATAACAGTTTATTCAAGAGATTGCAAGAAAATACATGCATGCCCCATTACATCCTAGTTGAGTGCCCATGTGTGCTCTTATATAAAAGTACATGTACACAAAAGCACAGCTGCATGTGAATTGGGTTTGGAATGAAGTATTGCTCCAAAACATTTTTTTTGTTAAATTGGTCTGGAGTTTCCAGGCTACTATCTGAGAATGCACTAGCTAAACTAGCCTTTTGGTCGTTATATCCCATAATATAAATGATTCCATATGCAGATGATCAACATTGAACAATACAATATATAAAATAAAAGCTTATGTTTGATATACAAATCATTAGTCTTCTTTATTGTTATAAATCAATAAATCATTTTTTCCAGAAAAATAACAACACTGGTTGATACAATTCTAGGAACCGGAAGAAGTTAAAAGTTTGACTTGCAACGGAAAATCCGGGAAACATGTCTTTTACTGAACAGTATGAGAGAGCAATGATGATTATTGGATTTAAACTGCTTGGAAAATATAACCAAATGAAGACGAAAAATGCACTGCATCAACAAACAAAACAACTACTGAAAGATTGGGATTCTAAAAACAATTGTTCAAAATCTTCTACAAGTTTAAGAAGACTGTACATACATGTATATATATATATATATTTATATAAGAAAGAAAAAAGTTTCAAGCACATGCATTATTTTGTGTACATAAATGTAATGAATAGAAAAAAGGAAAGAAAAAAAAAGGAAAACAAAATGAAAAGAAAAAAAAAAAAAAAAAAAAAAAGAAAGAAAATTAAAAAAAATGAAAAGAAGAGAGAAAGAAAATTAAAGAAAAGAAAAGAAAAGAAAGAAAAAAGAAAAGAAAATTAAAAAAAAAAAAATGAAAGAAAAAGAAAAGAAAAAAAATTGAGGAGGGAGGTGGGTAATGCAGCCAAGTAATACTGTATTCACCAATTTTCATGCACCATAACACCCACAATCGTGATAGTACTCTTAGATTTGCCTACAAATTTTGTGATTAAATAATATAACCTCATTATGCAGGAAATCTATTTTAAAAATTATCTTTACAATCATCATCTAGAGCAGACCAATATTTACGTCTTTTATCATTTTCATTGATATAAGATACCCCATTTTTAATTTCTAAATAAAACCAAGGTGCTTATTATTATGAATACAGTACAACTTGCCAGTCACAAGCCTGGAATAAAGAGCCACATTAAAATATCAAGAATTAAGTTAGTTTAAACAGGACTGTTTACAACTTTTTTGCCATTACTAGTATATGCATGTTACTCATATTTTTTTCATTTTCGTTCAATATGTCAATATAGAAAACAGGTGTGATTATGATTTTTATATAGCAGCTTTAGTTGCATGTACCTACCCTTTTTCAAAGTCTCTATAAACATGTACATACCCTTAATTAATTGCCTTCACGGCTTAATTGCAGGTGTTTCTTATTTACATATGTTCTCCAGGTAAACAAAAAATTCTGAAACAAATTGTACATTCCAGCAATTAAGTGTCATACTAGTAAAAAAGGGGGGATACAAATTTTAAACTTTTATTATATATTTAAATCATTAATTTATTGTGGCTTTTAATGCAGAGTGAACCACCATATAGCTTTAATTTTAGATTTATTGTGACTTTTAATGCCTAGTAAACTATCATATAATTTTAATGATATTATACCAACTTAAAACATACCTATAATTATGTATTGTACTAGGAATACACAAATCATAACTCATTATAATTTATATGTAGTTTTCATTCTAGTGAAGACCATGCTCATTACAATAAAAATTGTTTACAAATATCTTTAGTTCAGAGATAGTACATTTCTTTTCAGAGTCACAGTGTCGGATATTTTTTGTTCAACATACATGATCACATACAAAAGTCATGGGATAACGTCAGAAATCTAAGAAATATTTGAATAAAACAATGTTGCCTGCATGAAAATATTGATATCAACTTATTACGTTTGGTTTTCAAGAGTCCTTGCAGAAAATCTGCTGATCCTCACTATCGGTACATGTATGTTCTTTTACAATAAAAATATGTGATAAAAGTACATAAGGCAACATCTATTTTCTTATTTTCCACATTTACAACACACAAAAAAAAGAATTTATCAGTATAATATATGGTTTCCAGGAACAAGAATAAAACTTTTAAATCATGAAAAGTAAAATTTTGAGATAGAAAGATTTTTTTTTTTTTATATCAGTACCAGAATCAGAATTTGACTTAATGTATTAAAGATTTTAATTAATCATATGGATGTCATATTTTTTGTGTTGTTGGGATGTTGTCACATTTATGTATTCAACACATCTCCTGTACTCATTTTGTCATATATATAAAAAAGAAGATGTGGTATGATTGCCAATGAGACAACTCTCCACAAGAGACCAAATGACACAGAAATTAACAACTATAGGTCACCGTACGGCCTTCAACAATGAGCAAAGCCCATACCGCACAGTCAGCTATAAAAGGCCCCAAAATGACAATGTAAAACAATTCAAAAGAGAAAACTAACGGCCTAATTTATGTACAAAAAATGAACGAAAAACAAATATGTAACACATAAACAAATGACAACCACTGAATTACAGGCTCCTGACTTGGGACAGGCACATACATACAGAATGTGGCGGGGTTAAACATGTTAGCGGGATCCCAACCCTCCCCTAACCTGGGACAGTGGTGTAACAGTACAACTTAAGAACCTATTTCCATATACTCTGGATTCATTATCATTCTTTGGATACCAATTTTCGTGGATATATAAGTGACCAACTTATATAAGTGTTTAATGTAAACTTACAAATTTTCTATAGGCTTGTATGCCAACTTTAGCAAAACCCACAAAAATACAATTCTTCTTCAATCCACGAAATTGGAGAAATGTTAGAATATTGAGATCTACCTGCTGTAAATGTGAAATTACGTCAAAACTGTCAGACACATTTTTAAAGGAGTTATTGCCCTTAAATGTCAAATTTACCAATTTTTTTTCCAATTTTATCTATTATTTTGAAAATGAAAATAGATGGAGAGAAATTTTAATAAAAAAAAGACAAGAAATGCACAAAAGTCATTATGGCTGAAATCTTCAGAGGACTAGTTATTGGAGTTATTGATCTTCAATGACAATTTTTAACATTGATCAGCAATACAAGATTGACAAAAAAGCCACCATGTTTTAAATCTTAATTCAACCTGTTCTTGGGAGTTTTTTCCGTTTAAAGATGATTTTTACCATTTTTTTTTTAGTTTTTGCCTATTATCTTGAAAAGAGTTGAATGGATACAAATATAGATAGAAACTTTAAAAAGCAAAAATAATCAGCAGGACAAGATCTTATACATACATGTCAACATGAATGAAATTGTCAGTTAACTCCTTATAGAGCTATTGCCCTTTCGTGATGGTTTTAACCAAGAAGTGTTATTGTTGAAGATGATGTTGAGCAACACAGGCTCTTAAGAGCCTCTGTTTTGAACAACTTTGATTGACTAAGCATTTTACTTTCAGGGTAGCATTAATTACTGCTTGTCATTATGGATTGAAGTTTAGAATGTTCATTGGAGCCAACTTTTAAGGTAAGAACCATTGCATAGATTTATAAACTTGTAGTTTAAGGATTATGTAAAAGCCCTTGAATTTTGTCATTTTACATGTGACATTTTGTCGCCTAACTTAGGCATAGCAATTCACATTAATTTGCTATAGAAGTCAAAAATTAGGGTTCAGTATTATGGTTAAAGATTTTTCAAACATCAATAACTTTGTCAAACTTTGAAGTAATTGTACATAAGAAAATCCACAACAAAATTTTGAAATTCAAATATAAAAAAATATTCATCAATTGAAGGAACCACACACTAATTCACAAATGTGTGTAGGTATGAGTAAATTATTATTGTTTGGTCATAAGTTGAATATTTGTCTATATTTTAATTCTTTGATTAGTTTTGTTACATTGACCAAGGGCTTTTAAATTGAATTTTAAATAAAAGAATAAAATACAAGAAATATCTTTTTCTACGCATTTCAATTTTGTTTTGATGTCACATTATCCACAATGTCTTTGAAAACACTCATTGTTGCATATAAAATCAGAGATTGTGAAATTAATTTTTTTTTTAACCTGGACACAGTACTTCATTGCAACTGATGTAATAAATAGACTTTTTTCACAGATTTAACTAAGATAATTTTAAGGTTAAAATTTTACAGATATCAATTACTTTGTTGTCTTCATTCTATGAAGGTTTGACAGACATTTATTTTCCACATTCAAAGTACCAAGAAAGAGTTATTTTATCAGTTTGTTATCTGGTTTCCAGTAACATGAATAAAATAATATAACATTTGAAAAGTAAATTCTGAGAAAGATTTCACCTTCAGGGGGAGGCTAGTACAACAAACAGCAAGAATGTGTCATTCAATGGGAGATAACTCATAGATTATTGAGAAAAAAATTAATGTTGAAACAAAATCAAAACATGTTGTCTTTCCAGCTTTTATAGATATTAAACTGGTTTTGATGCTATGCAAAATCTTCAGTCGGGAAAACTGATTTTTTGGCGAACAGTTTAACACTTTCGTAAAATATATAATTTTTAATTCCTTTGTAGGTTTTTACATTATTTACCTTTTTTGTTTTAGTTTTTGCCTATTATCCTGAAAAGAGTAGAATGGATACAAATATAGATCGAAAATTTAAAAAGCAAAAATGATCAGCAGGACAAAATCTACAAATATGTCAACATGACTGAAATTGTCAGTAAACTCTTTATAGAGTTATACTCTGAGCTTGTAGACGGGCCTGCTTTTCCATGACATCAATGTTCTCCAACAAAGCACAAATTCATAACTTTTTGTTTCTCTTACAGATGCAGCTTAAATTATTTGCATCACAGACAACATCCAACACATCATTTATTCATGTGAATCTTCCCGAAATCCTTTGAGGTGAAAGACCAAGAATAACCAAAAAACATTCAACACTAAACTTCAATGTTAGATAATTTGATATATGTTTTTGATGAGGTTCAGCATAATTGTCCTGTAACGAGCCTTGCACTTGACCCGTAACACAGGTTTCCATATCAATTTTCTTTAGTAAAGTTTTTGTGGTTTTTCCTGGGCTGCGAGGTTACACTTAAGACGGATATATACATACATTTATAGAGATACAGGCATTTTGTACTTCATGGTTGCCATTGTTCATATGATTATTTGTTCTATATATATATATTTGCATTTTGGAATGTACTTGTACTTTATATATGTATTGATATATAAAATATATATTAAACGCTGGCTCAGTCAGTCTGCACAGCTAAATGCATTGATTTTGTTAGTTGTTATTGATGTCAGAGACATATATTCACATATAAACACCATATAATAGTAGTTCAAATGCCAAACTTGATGCATGCGCTTTTTGTGCAAGTGATGGTGGCATCATTGAGCTAAAAACAAATACAATACTCTGTTTCCTTAAAGTCTATTGTATTTGAAGCAGAAGTGGTACAGTGGCAGTTGTGCAGAGAAAGAAATGCAAATAAATACCTTGTGTTCAACTTCATTTGTCTTCTTTACAAAAAGTTTACAAAGTATACATAGATATAAGAAGATGTGGTATGAGTGCCAATGAGACAAATCTCCATCCAAGTCGCAATTTGT